CTTTGTGGTCTTGATGGGATACAAGGGCTGTATGAACCCAGCTAAGGGTCTTTGCTCAAGGGGCTGGTTTATGCCACTGTGTGTGTGTGTGTGTGTGTGTGTGTGTGTGTGTGTGTTTCATCACGCTTTGAGGAAGGGAGGCAGCTCTTGACCCCAGGAGTTCCAAGGCTCCCCATAATCTCTTCATGTGTGGAATCAGGCAGGCTAGGCTCTCCATACCTGGGCAGTGCTCTAGTGTGCCAAACTCCTGCACAGACACCATTTGCCCAATGAGAACTCAGTGATGCTCCCCAGAGGAAAGAGAGAAGATGTCACCTGCTCGCTAGAGGACAGAAACCATTGCTAGAGTCCTGTATCAGACTGGGCCTGGCCTCGTCAGCTCTGTGACCCTGGCTTCTCCCAGGCTGACATGAACTGGGATCACCAATGCAGCCATGAGGCCTGTGAGCAAGACACACCCCCACATCGGTTTCTCTGCCGGCAAGGAGATACACTTTCTTGAGCCCTCTGCGTGTTGCCAGAGTGAGCAAGAACATTCCAGGCAGGAGGGTAAGCCCGGCTCTTTTGCCTTCACTGGGTTTTACTTCAAAACCAATTTGCTGGACAAACGTGCCGGCTTCTAAAGTGACCTCACCACGCTAACAGTATAGGTGCAGGTGCCCTTTCATCTGTTTATTTATGTCTTTAGTGCTGGGAGCCCACATGCCACACTGACCCGGTCCCCATATGTATCCTGCCCAATTTGTTTATGCCACTCTGGTCACCACTGTCTCAAGTCATATCAGTCGCTGCTAAAGCAAGCAAGAAAATCCTTCCGCCCCTCTCTTTGCAGAGGGAGAAACTTGGGTCCCCACAAGAGAGTGCGTGGCTTGCTGGGTCACATCTGACTCTCCCGTATTTCCCTTCCAGAGTTCCTCAAGGCCTCACCCTTCCTGGACGCAGAATTTCTAATCACCTAGAGAGATGTCCACCCCCAAGAACCAGGGACAGCTCTATGGAAAAGCCAATGGGTGCACCTGCAGCTGGAAGGGGTCTCCCCGCCAAATCTTTGGGGTGACCATGTCCATGACTCTTGACTCCGCCTCTTGGAGACACTGTACCTGCTGTTGTCCACAAGCAGGCTCCTGCTGGATTCTGCCCCCTCTCCTGCTTGGGGATGCTATCTGCGCTTTGCACCCAGGCTCACCTAAGTCCAAACGCACAGAGGGTTCGCACACCCTGTTTAAAACCCACTACTGGTTTCCAACCAATCCCTGTCTATAACCTGGGGCACAGGTCTACATGTGCCATCTTCTTTATCACCCCTGTTTCCCGGAACACAGGGAGTGCCATTCCGGTGTTTCACTTCTGGGTGCTTCCTGGATTCTCTTCAAAGTGGGTGGCATCCAGGCTCAGTTGCCTGCACCATGGCCAAGAGGCTGTGATTCCGGGAACTGCTTGACTGAGACAAAGGAAACGTCCCCTGCCACGCTGTGGGCTTTTTAAGGAAGAGCCCTGCCCCATAAATAATTGTCCAGACTTCGTGACAGCAGATGCGCTCCATGGCCGCAGCTCGTTGCTCGCTTGACCTGTGACCCCTGGCTTTGTGTGAGTGAGCTTGGGTCCATGGTTTGTGGCTTCAGGAGGGCCTGGTTATGGGATGCTATTGACAAGGCATTTATAAATATTTAATCTTCACATTAAAAATATGGGACAGAAGAACCATTAGTAGCTGACAATAAAAAAAAAGCCTTTCTCTGCTGGTCGTGGGGGCAGAAGAATAGAAAGGCGGGCTCTGATGAGGCTACATGACAGAGGGGAAAGGCAAATTAGTGTTGTTTACAAATTGGTCACAGCCTAGACCTGTGGTATGGTTCTGAACCTGAGCTGTCGATTGCAACCAGGTTTGTGCAAAGCCCAGCCCATTCTACAAAGCAAAATGGATGGTTTATTTACGCCCAGTGCCATTAAGAATGGAGGAGAAAGTTCAGCCTGGGATAAGAAGCTTAAATCTTGATTTCTCCCTTCCCCCTCTCAAAAAGAATGGATTCCTTGCATTGTAAATTATCCGGCCCTCGTCCTCAGGTTGGCAGCTGCTGCAGGCTGGAACGGACATTGCATAATCTTAAATATTGATTCTTGTTAGACCTCCCCCAAAAAAGCAATCTGAGAGCCCCAAGCTCCCCTGGACAGCATGTCCAGGAAATCGCCTTGGCTGTAGCTCACTTCTGATGCCTCCACCCCCGACAGTGAGATCCATTCTGATTAGGGAGTTCTTGGAGAAAGAGCCCACCGTTTTAGGATCAGCTTCTCCATCACAGCGAGCCTATCGACTTCTCCTGACACTGACTCCCCAGCGTCCCCCCAGTGCCGCTGGAGAGGAGACCCCAAGCTTTGAGAGCCCATCAGTTCTTATCACCCCCAGATCGAACTCACCCATGGTGGCCCGACAGAACCCCCACATGCAGTCCCCTCCAAAGGCAGGTGTGGAGCAGGAAATCCTGGCACTGCCCACTTTACAAGCCAAAGTGATGCTACCCTTAGAAAGAAAGTGGTCTTCACAGAACAAAGTTATGTGGTGTGTTGTTTGTAGCTGTACCGCTGAGTCCCCCAGGCATGGAGACAGTTACGGTGTGGGTTTTAGGAGGCTGAAGACAACGGTCTTGTGTAAATCCATTAGGGCTAAATACGGATGCCACCCTATCCCTCCCAGCACACGGACCACTTAGCTCTGGGCGAGGAAAACAGAAAATGCCACACAGAGAGCCTGCTTCCTTTCCCTGGCTCCCCACCCAAGCATCACACCGCTGCTTCCGTGTCTAAATACGGAAGAAAACCAACCGTAAAGGATTGCCCTGGCTTGGCAGCTTGTGGGACGGTTTCATGAAATGTGATTAATTTTTTGAGTCCTCTGTGGCCACAAGCCTTATCTATTACCTAACCAATCAACCTTGGTTACCTGCCAGAAGCAGCGAGGGTGAGAGATCCATCAGTGGGCTCCTTTCGGTTGTTGTTTCAGAGGACATCCCCTGACCATCATCTGAGATGTCCCTATCATTTGGATCCGTTCTACTTTCAGAAGCCACAAGTCAAAATGCAGCAAGGTGATTCCACCTTTTGATGAACACCCACCTCAGACTGCTCTCTGTGGGCCACTTGCTCACACAAGGGACACCCTGTACAGGCTACAACTGAGGACCAGGGCACCTGATCAGTCAGTCTAATGATGACCTTCAGAACCTGATGCAAAGCCACAGTGAAACCAGAGGCCCATCCAGGCCTAGTGAGCTGTTCTGGGGATCATCCAAGCCTGTCTAGAAGTGAACGAATCATGGAAAGTTGACCCACATCAGCATGGTACAGATGGGTGTCTTGTTTTGAAATAATCTGTCTTGTACTAGGAGATAGATGGAGTTCTATGGGTTGACAGCTGGCCTAGCATACCAGACACCTTGGGTTAGATCCCCAGCATTGCATACCATAGAAAAATAGAGGCACACAGACCTGATCCCTGCTACTCCAGTGCTATCTGGACCTTGAGTGCATGCTCAGCCTCAGCAGACTTCAGGACCAACTAGACTACCTGAGACCTGGTCAGGAAACAAGACAAATTCTATGCAACAAGCATGGTCTCCCCATGTTCACATGTGGAGATCCTAACCCCGAAGTCAGATGGTTCTAGGGGCTTTGGAAAAAAGTTAGTTGAGTACCAGACTGGGCTCCATGATGGGACTGGTTCCCTAATGAGATTTTGGCTATATCTGGTTCCTCCCTCCATGCTCAGAGAGATGTGTGGATCAAGACTCTGCCTTGCTAGGTGCAGAATATGTCAGTGCCTTGATCTCTGACTTGTAGCCAGCAAAACCATGAGGACTGGACCTGTGTTGTCTATAAACTGCTTGATATGGAGAATCCTGTTATAGAAGCCCCAAGAGCTAAGAACTTTTCTTCCAGAGCTCTGCTGGGGTGAACAGGCTGAGCAGTCCGGAAGGCAGGCTGGCAGCTTAAGTTTGTATTCAAGAGGCCCCTGCTTCCTCAGCCTGAGTCCACCACACCAGGTTCTGGGCCCCAGCGATCTAGAACAGGAGCCCTCTGACAGGCTGTTAGGGATCTCACTGCCTCTTGCGGCTGCTTCCTTATTTCTTCCGCTCAACGCCACCGTCTGTCATGCCCATCCCCAGCCTGGCTCCACCAACAACCTTTCTTCACCAGCCATCCTCCATCACCAGCCATCCTTCATCACTAGCCATCCTCCATCACAAGCCATCCTCCATCACAAGCCATCCTCCATCACAAGCCATCCTCCACAACCAGCCCTCCTCCACCATCAGCCGTCCCTGGCATCAGCCATCACCCACCCACCGTCAGCCATCTCCAACCATCTGCCTGCTTCCACCACAAGCACTCCTCCATAACCAGACATTCCCACCAATCAGCCAACCTCTATCAGCCATCCTTCATCTGACATCTCCCACCACCAGCCCTCCTCCTCCACTACCAACCCTCCTCCTCCAGCACCAGCCCTCCTCCCCCACCACCAGCCCTCCTCCTCCTCCACCAGCCCTCCTTCACCATTAGTTAGCCATTCTTGAAGGAGTCCTAGCACCTGCCTTTTATCTGCCAAGCTCTGGCGGGAATCAGAGCCAGGCACATGGCTCTCCTGAACTGGGTCCCCTCCCTGCTCCTTTATTTTCACCTCGTAGTTCAGGCACGTCTAAGGCTGGAGCTTGCCCTTGGCGTTTCTAAAGAAGAGATCTGCAGGCAGCTTCCTGGTGCCCCTGCTTTCACAGATCTGCCTTCTATTTGGGGCCCTTACCTGTGTCACCTCTGTGGTCCTGAGGTGACCCCTGTAGAGCCAGCCATCTCCATTGGTGGATGACCCCTAGGTTTCACAAGATGCTCTGTCATTGCCTGGTTGGAAACTTATTTTTGTCAAGGAGGTGGCCTAGCCACCCGAGAAGCTTCTGGAATAGGAAGAAAACGTGTCAGTAAATGTCTTTGCTTCTCTGTCTCATTCTCAGTTTCTCGGCATGAGCCAGACTTGGTAGAAGAGAGTCTACAGCTGTGATGACCTCAGAAAGGCACACCCCCACAGAGCACAGTGCTTTACAGTGTGCCCGGCCTCCCTTCTGCACTTTGAGTAGCCCTCTACGGCCAGCATGTTGTCCCGTCTGAGAGGTAAGGAGTCTCCAGACTGCCATTCCCATAAGTCTCTGCTCCAAATAGTTGGGCTGGCCTCTGACTGGGGTCTCAAGACTGAGTACCCAACTTTTACAATCCATAGTGCACATGGGCCAGCTCCTCAGAAAGGAGAGATTGAAAGTTGGTCACCTCGAGGGTCTTGGAGAAAAGGAGCTGAGGAGACAGGTTTGTCCTGACCATTTTTCTGTACCTTCACCCTTTAGTCAGGGCATACACTCTCATGGTCCAGCTGAAAGCTGGCTCTTTAATACACACGTAGCACTCACCTTGTCCCGGATGTTCTCACGCCAAAAGATATGGTGAGAGGCTGAACCGTGCTGCCAGCCAAGCGCAGCTTGTGCTAAGGTTTCTTCCAGGTACTGTTCTTCCTGTAGCATTAGTAACCTAGAAAATGTCCCATGACTCCTAGCCACGAAAACCAGCTTCCCTCTGCAAACCAAGCTGTGGGAACTTGGTTCTGCCCCAAGGGCCAGATTGGGTTTCAGCCCTGTCAGTGATGTTGTCTTCCAGCCTGAAGCCTACCTAACCCAGCAGCATCCAGCTGTTCCTAAAGAACAGTCATGTCTATGTTAACTTGGCTCTGCCACTATAAAGGCATTATGTCTCGTGGTTAAAGGCAGTTTTAGGGGCATGAGGAGTGACTGGGTAAAGTTCTAGCCAGGCAAGCATGAAAACCTGTGTTCAGATCCCCAGCGACCACATGAGAAACCAGCGATAGCAGTTCGTGTTTATAACCCTAGCAGCAGGGGGCAGAGATCAGAGGCAGAAGGATCCTGGGGCCCCCCTGTCCAACCAGCAAGCTCCCAGTTCAGTGAGACACCCTGTTTTATAAAATTAAGCAGGACACCCCAGCATCAATCTGCAGCCTCTGCACATACCAGAGCATGATAATACTTTATGTTTTGAGACAAAGTCCCGTGGACCCCAGGCCTGCCTTGAACTCAGTAAGTAGCAGAAGATGACCTTGAACTCGCAACCCTCTTCCCTCCACCTCCCGAATTCTGGGATTAGAGGCATGCACCACCACATCTAGTTTATGTAGTGTTGGGGCTCTGACCCAGGAATCTGTGTGTATCAGACAAGCACTCTATAACTGAGTTACATTCCCAGCCACAGGAAGATGTTTTCAATTTTTTTTTAAAAAAATCATTATTTAGAATGTGAAGTGAATGAAGACACTGCTTATTTTCATTAGCTGTCTGTGTACGTTGAATATTTTCATTATTTACATACCATCTCCCTTTTCCCTTTCTCTTCTTCCATCAAAGTTGTTTTGTAGAGGGAAAAATTCAACGAGAGAATATGTGCAATTTAAACTATGTTCTGGAATCATCTTTTTCAGATGCAGTTGATTTTAGAGATGGGGGGTATTAGCACTTTCAGAATCCAAAACAGCCTAAAGCTGTTGCAAATTCATTCCTTACCCCCACTTCACATGAGAAACATGTTGTGTCAGATGAGTTATACAGACACGTACGTCCATGTTTAAATAAACCTGATAGACTTTTAATATAAATTGTAGTGATGCACACTGATTGTTTATAAAAATTTATAATTGACCAGGCATGGCAGCTCATACTCGTAGGAAAGTTTAGGCACCTACTGGGCAGACACAGGGAGATAATAAGTTCAAAACTAGTGTGGGCTATGTAGTGAGTTCCAGACCATCCTGGGCTAGAGTGTCTTAGTTAGAGTTTCTATTGCTGTAAAGAGACACTGTGACCATGGCAACTCTTAAAAGGAAAACGTTACTGTGCTGGCTTACAGTTTCAGAGGTTCAATCCATTATCATCATGGTGGGACATGGCAGCATGCAGGCAGACATGGTGCTGGAGAGGGAGCTGAGTGTCCTACCTCTTGATCTACAGGCAACAGGAAGTGAACTGTGCTCCACACTGAGAGTAGCTTGAGCAAAGGAGACCTCAAAGCCCACCCCTCACTGTGACGTACTTCCTTCAAAAAGGCCACAGGTGCTCCAACAGAGCCACACTTCCTAATAGTGCCACTTCCTATTAGCTTATGGGGGCCAATTACATTCAAACTAGATGGGGCTCTATCTCTAAATTATTATTTAACCAACTAATTAATTAGCCTTATGTATGATACCTTCCTCTGTCCTCCTAATATCCTGCCAGAGACCCAGAGGCCACATTAGAGCTTCCTGTCCTCTGTCCTCTATTCTCATCACCTTTTCAAGACCAGTCTCTGGACTCTGTTGTTCCCTGATGGATTCTGCTATCACAGCCACCTTTCCTCCTTTTCACATGAGGTGGGAGCTAGGTGGCCTCTGGTGATCCCTGCTACCCAGACAATCCCTGCCTCTGTGAGTCAGTGCCCTTCCTGTTTAGTAAATGTTAGGGTTGGGATCCGCCAAACCCAGGTTCCAAGTCAGCTGCCCTAAGAAGTCCCATGATGCCTCTGAAAATCCAAGGATCCATTGAACAACCACGATTCTCTCCTACGTCCTGAGGGCCAGGGCCAGACTGTGAGGTGACCAGAAAGCTGTGGTATGGGCTATGAGCTTGGGCAAATGGAAGGCCATACCCTGCATTCTAGCATCAACCTGCTCTCCAGCCCATGGCCATGATGCCATGGCTCCCAGTCCGTGCCTGCTGCACACTAGCCCATCCCCCACCCCTACCACCACTTACCTTTCCCTTTAGTAATCCACTCCTGCTCCATCAGCCCTGAGCTCTCATCCCGTTAGCGCTCATCACGACTGCCCTCGATATCTTGGGAAGAAATGAAGAGACTTACTGTGTTACCGAGTTTGGAAAATTCAATATTCCCAAGTCATTGGTTCCCAGAGACAGGCTCTGCACAGCACCAAGCTGATCCTGGAATTTAATGAAAGAGCAAATGCATAAGGGGAGCGGAGAAAATTTTTAAGGGATTCCAAGAAAGTTCTGCCTTTCTAGGAGTAAAAGCGGATTTTTTTTTTAATGTAAAGAAATTAACAATAAGACAGTGATGAGCAGGAATACCCCGAAAGGTCAGAAGAAGAGAATTAGAGCGGAAGAAGAGAGTTTAGAAACTGATAATGGGATATTTTAAATCAGTCGAAGCGGCGAACTGGCTGTTCAATGCATATTCTGGGGATAATTTGTTTCCTGTCTGGAAAAAAATAAAATTTAATCTCTCCTCATATCAAACATAAAATTAACACCCAAGAGATGAAAGAAGTAAAGGTTAAAACTATGAAAACTATCACAGTGATAAAATGAAATGTAAGATAATTCTGCTCTTAAACCTCAGGATGGAGACAGGCATCCCACCTGAGAATGCAAAGCCATGAAGGGAAAGAAGGGGAAGGGATCGCCAGGACCGAGGGAGGACAACCAGGGGAGCACCGTGAACATATAGACTCATGGGGGGAGGGGCGTGTTTGTAACACAAGACAGAGGAATGGCAGCCACAGAGACAAGCGCCCCTGAAAACTGTTGAGGAATAGGCAGAAGCCACGGAGACCAACGGGCGGTTCACAGGAGGAATGCAAATGGCGGCAAATGTGTGAAGAGATGCTTTCACTAACAATTAGAAAGTGCAAATTAAAACAGCACAGTGTGACTGTCACCAGCAGAATGAGCAAAGAGCCTGGAGCACAGCAACACCAGGAAGTGCGTGTACATGTATGCGGTGTAGGCAGGGGCTGGTCGTTTCCTCCAGGGCCTGTTTCTAGCACCCAAGTCAGTGCCTGGCATCGAGTAGGCACTAGATATAGACAGATAAACAGACGGACAGGTGACAAACAGATAGATGATAGATGATAGATAATAGATAGATAGATAGATAGATAGATAGATAGATAGATAGATAGATACTATTATGCTAAAATGTCTATGACAAAATTTGACATTTACCCCTTGTAAAGTGCATAGTTTGATGGCATTTGGTACACTCGTATTATGTTGCTGGGCAACCATTCCCAAGACCATTTACATTTTTGCCTCTCCCAAACTCTGCCACATTAAACACTGGCCTCCACTGCCCTCCTCGTCCCCGGCAATCCCATTCTACTTTCTATCTCGATGCATTTGGCTATTTCAAGGACTTCAGAAAAGTAGGCTTAGCCTTGTGTGATAATAATATTTTGACTTCAAAAATTTATTGCATATGTGTGTGTGCACGCAGAAGACAGAAGTGACAGGAGTTATCTTCCTGGGTTGCTTTGCCTTGTTCTGTTTTGCAGCAGGATTTCTCACTGATTAGCGAGGCTGGCTGGCTAGCAAGCCCCAGGGATCCTCCGGCTCAGCCTCTCCCATGTCCAGATTACAGCACTCAACCCAGTGTTTTCATGTGGGCTCTAGGGGATCGAACTCAGGTTCTCTTACTCGCAAGACAAGCACTTTAGCGACAGAGCCATTTCCCCAGCCCAAGGACAAAACCTTAAATGAAGGAATGGAGGCATTTCATACGAACCAAGGAACCATCACATAGAAATTTGCTCATGAGTTAGTGACAGATCACGTGGTCCATTGAAGAGTTAACAAACAGAACTATAACGTGAGTCACAGCTGCTTGTTAACTCCAACTCTAGCAGGTATCCTATGCCTCTGGCCTATGAAGTTACCTGCATATATATGCACACATCACATGCCCTCATACTCTCTACATAATTAAAATAATAAGAGTAAACCTTTAAAAATCAGTAACATTCATGCCGGGCAGTGGTGGCGCACACCTTTAATACCAGCACTCGGGAGGCAGAGACAGGTGGATCTCTGTGAGTTCAAGGCCAGCCTGGTCTACAAGAGCTAGTTCCAGGACAGGCTCCAAAGCTACAGAGAAACCCTATCTCAAAAAAAATTCTATTTTATTTTCTATTTAATGTGTATGAGTATTTACCCTGCATATCTGTCTGTGCACCATGTATGTGCCTGGGTGCCCTCAGAGACCAGAAAAGGTTATCAGATTTCCTGAAACTGGAGTTACAGATGGTTGTGAGCCACCATGTGGGTGCTAGGGATAAAAACCCA